TGTAGGGCCTGAACTCTGGGCCTGGACACTGTCCCTCAGCTCTTCAGCTCAAGGCTAGCACTCTACCACTTGAGCCACAGCGCCACTTGTGGCTTTTTCTGCATATGTGGTGCTGAGGAATCGAACCCAGGGCCTCATGCATGCAAGGCAAGCACTCTACCACTGAGCCACCTTCCCAGCCCTCTTACATGAATATCTTAAGTATTTTAACAACTACGGTTAAGTCTAATTGGAAAAGAAGCAAAACGAAAGTTCCGATTTTCAGTCTCACACATGAACAATCATTAACACAAGAAAACTAAGAAATCAGCTAGATTCTAATAACATTATTTTCAGATTATACAACTTCCCTGGAAAATACTCTTTAATCATCACACAACTTAATACTGCAGAATATTATTCAACTACCTTAACCTAAAGTTTTTTTTTAAATGAGAAAATAAATTACAGTAATTGACTTACCTCTTCTCAGTCCCCATATTTAAGCATTAAATATTGGAAATTAGATAAATTCGTCCTAATATTATACCAAAAGCTTATATTACCAATATTTTACCAAAAATTTCCATTAGCAGTCCCTTACTTTACCTATTTTGAATAAAATATCATACAAGTCTGAAGAAGGATTTTTATAGGTACTTATTATATATTTAATAACAGATAATCTTGGGTGTGAACAAAAATATTCCCCATGCTGGGTGCTGGTGGCTCATGCCCTACAATCCTAGCTACTCAGGAAGCTGAGATCTGAGGATTATGATTCGAAGCTAGACTCAGCAGTAAGTCCTTAAGACTTTCATCTCCAATTAACTACTAAAAAGCCTAGAAGGGGATGTTTTGCTTAAGTGGCAGAGTGCTAGCCATAAACAAAATAACTCATTGAAACTTGGGACTCCCCCCCCCAAAAAAAACTTGTTAATAAAATCAACTATTAATTTCTGCTAGAGCAATCACTAAGTGAAGAACTCTTTTCTTGTCTTTTTTTTTTTTTGGGGGGGGGTCTGGTCGTGGGGCCCGAACTCTGGGCCTGGGTACTGTCCCTGTTCTCTTCAGATCAAGGCTAGTACTCTACACTTGAGCCACAGCAACACTTTCGGCTTTTTTCTTTTTGCTTATGTGGTGCTGAGGAATCGCACCCATGCAAGGCAAGTGCTCTACCACTGAGCCAGCCCTGAAGAACTCTTACAAGTGTTATTTCAATATAACTTTCCCCCAAGAATTACTTATTTATTTATTTGCCAGAACTCTGGGCCTGTGCACTGTCCCTGCTTCTTTTTGCTCAAGGCTAGCAATCTACAAGAAGTGGCACTGTAGCTCAAGTGGTACAGTGCTTGCCTTGAGCTGAAGAGCCCAGGGACAGTGCCTAGGCCCAGAGTTCAAGCCCCATGACTGACAAAAAAAATAAATAAAATAAAATATAAACAAAACTGAGGCTCTACCACTTGAGCCACATAACCACTTCCAGATTTTTCTGTTTATGTGGTGCTGAGGAATCGAACCCAGGGCTTCGTGCATGCTAGGCAAGCACTCTTATTACTAAGCCACATTCCCAGCCCTAATCACTTATTTTAAATAAAAGTTTTATTTTGTTTTTTCTGGTCCTGGGGCTTGAATGCAGGGCCTGGGCTCCATCCCTGAACCTCTCGGTGCTCAAGGCTAGCACTCTCCTACTTGAGCCACCGCGCTATTTCCAGCTTTTTCTGTTTATATGTACTGAGGAATCAAACTCAGGGCTTCATGCATATCAGGCAAGCTATATTCCCAGCCCTTAAATGTAAGTTTTAAGCATGTACCAAGATAAAGCTAAAGGCTATACGAAGTTACCTTAAATGTTTAAGTCACAGTATTTTCATTGTTTTCAAATATATTTCTTAGAACTATTACAGCTAGTTTTTAAGAGCAGGCATTTAAAAAAATCTATGCTAAAAATTATTTTCTCTTTTGAACTTTTAAAAAACATTTAAATATGAGCTTCTAGTTTACTGATCACAAATATGAACCTAACATTTTTAGGCACAGAAAAATTACAAACTGCAATTTAAAAGACTAGAATGTTAAATATTCTTTCCAGTAATCAACTGCTGTCCGCTGAATTTGAAAGAGAACCTATTGTATATGAAAAAATTTTAAAGTGAGCTCATCTACCCTCTCCATCTCAGCATTTTCTCAATTTTCCCATTACAATTTACAATATAATTCAGCAGTCAAGTCTTCCAGACCAGTAACCTCAGAATTTATTTTTAACTCCTGACTCCTTCACAAATATTCCTCTTCAGTCCAATCCAAAAAGTCCTGCCAGTTCTTCACTCACACTGCCCTCAAATCTGTTCCTATATCATCCCATTTTCACATTTTGGTTTTTTTTCCCTCATGATTCACAAGATATTCTTACTATCTCTCTGTTATATCTCCAGTCACATTCACAACTCATCTTCAAATATCTGCCCAAATCATCCACAAATATCTGGTTCAACAATCCCCACTAATCAGATTGTTCTTGAATATGAACCAGACGTTTCTTTATTCTCTAACAGCTAAGTTAGTCATATTTCTTAAATTCCATCTCTTATTTTCCTTCCAAGCCATTTAATTCAGATTTACCAACTCATTGCTGTCTCTCTCACAAAACTCACCACTTTTTGCTTCTATACATTCTTCTCATCTAAGTTCCTTGTTACTTCTCCATCACCTAGAAGTGACAGCTGCCTGATTTAAAACACACCTCTGCTGAAGCTTTCCTTCTCAAACCCTTCTTTTTTGCCATCTCTCATTGTCCCTCCTGAATAGATTTAATTTGCATTTAATAAATCTTGCAGAGATCATGCTATTGTTTTTCTACACCCCCCGCAACATACACAATCTGCCTTTATCACTAAGGCTGGAGGCCAAATTCTGTAATTTCTTCTATATTTCTAGTTTTGAAAGGAGTCCCTTAGAACTCCTAACAAATGCTTTTTTCTACAACCTGAAGTTGTCAAAAGCTGAGCATCAACATTAAACACCAACTTTTTAAATATTAAACTGGCTTTTATGATAATATAAAATTCAGCACTTTTAACATACAAACTTGAGACTCTCTTTTCCATCAACATCCCTATTAAGAATTAATCATTTCCAAAGAAAATCCTAGAAACAGAAAGTCCCAAAACTTAGCACTGTAATCATGCATTACCCAACTCTGAAATAAACCTAATAAATGAATAATCTAAAACTGATTGAGTGGTTTGACGCTATCTGACCAAAATATAAAAACATACAAACACTCCAGTTCAAGAGGATCTTAAGAATGTACTATAATATTTGCTTCATTACAGCTGAAAATTACCCCAGAATTTTTTTTAATTCCTCTCAAATGCCCCCATAAAATGCTTAGAAAGCATGATCTTTCTCTGAAAGATGCAAAAATCAGCTTCCTTCCTCTACCTTGAGTTAACTTTCAAATATCTCTCCCATTCAATTATTATCTTGGACTACCTTGTTTCAGTTAAGTCTCAAAAGCCAACAAAAATTTAACGTTTGAGTGCAAGTAACTAAAAGTAATCACTTTATGTTGTTAAAGATACAATCTATTTCCTATAATAGTACACACATCTAGACTCTAAAACCTTAGTTCTCCAGTTCTCTCAGTTCTTCTAAGGCAACAAAGTAGTTTAGTTTTGCCCTCATCATGCCTTTAGAAAATATGGAAACAGCATGGATATTTGTTGTCAAATTCTGGAAGTATGTTTAAATAAGCTGTCATCAAATACCACATAAACAGCTCCACAAATAGATACACTGGAACACTGGATACTTAGAATACTAAAAACTTCTAATAACACACACTTTTCAGCACAAATCCAGGGCAAGAGTACAGTGGCTAGCTAGTGAAGACCACAACCCTGAACACAACTAAACAAAGTCCAATAACAACCCAAATTATCATTTTATGTCTAGCACCACAACCCTTTGCTAAAGCTAGGATGGAAAAGACTAAATCCATAATCTTGTAACTAAAACCAGTCTGAGGTAAATGTAACAGAAATTAATGCAGTAGCATTTTAAATAGTCCTTTAAAAGGAATCCCCTGTACTACAGAATGCAATGGCACCTCAAAACTTAAATGACAATCAGTGACATTTAACTTTGGGGCCTATGACAATACAAACCAGTCAAAACTCGGACCTGCTTCCAAGTTACCTTTTGAACAAATTACATAGTGGCAGACTGGTAATGTCAAAACAGGAAGGTTGAGCGATAACATATTAAGGCACTTAACCAACTGAAGACAATGCACAAGAGAAGAAACTGCTGCCGGGTATTTATGGCCCCCACCCGTCCCTAGTAAAGGGAGGGATCTACGGTTGATCCAACATGAATGCCAACTCCGGGGAAGTTCATCCCCAGATTAAAAAGAAATACTTTGTATAGTCACACTGGCAAAAGAGAAATAAATGTTAGGAGGCTCGGATGTCTCTATTAATGTCTCAACAAGAATAGAGAGGCTTTTACGTCTGTATGAAGAATACAAACCTAAAACCCTTGGGATGTGAACTAAGCAAAATACCTTCCCTTCAGTCCAGAAGACACACATACACTCTGCAAATTGCACATCACGGTTATGAATCAAGTCTGTCCTCTTGATATCAAACCATGGGCTTTTAGAAACCCTTTCCATTGCCATTTTAACGCGCAAACACTGGAGCACTTAATAAAGCTAACTACCAACAGCAAGCCAGGTATACGACGAGAAATAAGTTTCCAATGGAATCATCCAAATAAAATCCTAGTCTCTCAATTCAAGGTTAAGGAGACCTGGGGGAGGGGGGGGGGAAGGGTCGGGGATGGGAGGAGAAAAGAGGGAGCGGCCTCATCCTTGACTGAAGACAGGTTTTGCCCTGTTCCATTACCTTGGATTGTTCCAGTAAGAGATCTAACAGTTTTAAGCTCCTGGTATCCCGAGATTTTCCTATTTTAAGGGTGAGGTGCAAAGCGGGTGGAAAATTAAAATCGATACTCACTGCTAACTTTCATGCTGCCAAAAGCTGAAGGCTGCTGCACTGGCTTGCAGCTCTCCGCAAAGGAGGTGGTTCTGGGCCGCCCTGACATGATTGCTCTTCCCAATCACCTTTTTCCTTCCTTCCTCCTTTTTCTTCCTTTTGTTTTATGTGGGAGCGTTAGGTTAATGATAAATGCAGCATTAAGTTTCTCCCACCAGAAGAAAAAAGAAAAAGGCAAACAAAAAAGACTTCGTCCTCTTGGCTTTTGTAATAGCTATATTGTTCTTTTCGAAAAAAGCAGAGGGTTGTATTTCTCCTTCGAGACAGATCGGTACGGATATTTAACATATAGATGATTTGGGACGGGGGGGGGAGGGAAGAGGAGGGGACACAATTCTTTCACCTCCCTTTGCTGAGAGGGGAGTAAAAGGGTAAAGGGGAAGGGTCCTTTAAAAATAGATGTATATATATATATATATAATTACATATATATATCCCGTGAAAGGAAAGAGCAAACAGTTGAATGAAATTAAGTACTTTGAATATTCTATTTTCCTCGGGGATTTTTTTTTCCCCGAGTCAATGAAGGAGAGCGGCGGAAGGATCACGAGTCTCACGCTTGGAGAGAAGGGGGATGGGAAGGAGGCGGGCGGGCGGGAGGAGGAGGCGGCTCCGAGATGCGACGGGCAGCGCTGCGGCTCGAGCAGCGGCGGGATCCGGCGGCTGACGGCGAGGGCCCGGCGAGCCGGAGGGCGGCGGAGTCGCTAGTCCGTCAGGGGCGGGCGGTGGTGGCGGTGGCGGTGGCGGCGGCGGCGACTCCGCTCCTCATTGCGCCAGGAGCAGCTGCAGGCGGCGGCTGGATCCAGCGGCCATGGCGGCGGCGGTGGTGGCGAAGACAGCTCCCTTCAGACCCCAGGCAGCGGCTCCACGATTGCTCCCCGTACGCCGGGGACATGGGAACCCGACAACCGCTTCCGTCTCGCTGAGGCCCCCTCCCCCGGCCGCGGCACCGGCGGCGCGGCCGCCCTCCGCCCCTCGCCTCTGCTCCGTGCGGATCGGGAAGTGTCCGTGCTGTGCCCCCAGCCCGGAGCCTTGTCAGTGGCTGCGGGGTCAGCTCCTCCTCGCTTCCTTCCTTCCTTTGTCAGTCGGCCCGGGCCGCGGCGGTAGTGGCGGCGGAGGCGGCGGCAGCAGCGGCAGCAGCAGCGCAAGCCCGCATTCGCCCGGGTCGGGGGCGGCTCTGTGTGAGGAGCGCCGTCTGCGCAGCCGCCGAGCGCTTCCCCCTCCCCTCCCCCTCCTCTCCTCCCTACGCGTCCTCCGCCTCCTTCCTCCCCCACCCAGCCTTACACCGCCCTGCGCCCCGCCGCCCGCGTAACCTGCGTCTGGGAATCGCCCGCCGAGCCCGCGCCCGCCCGCTGTGGCTGGAAAGCCGAAACCCAAAGGCCAAGCCAATCAACGGCGTCGTTTGTTTGCGGCTCTTGCCGGAAAAAGCCGATGGGGCCGAGGGACCAATTAGAAAGTGTCGCTGGGAAGCTACGCCCGGAGAGCGTAAAAGGCCGAAAGTAGCCGAAGGGAAAGAAGGTGGGCTCGCCTTGTTCTAGGGCTGGCTGGAGGAGAAAATTCGATGATAACAACAGTGGCCAATCAAAGTTTCCAGCCCTGAGGGGGAAAAAAAAAAAAAGAAGGAAGAATTTTTAAGATAGCGAAACGCAGAGTCGCAGGAGAAACTTCACGGCGGGGCACTGCGGCCGCTCCCTCATTGGCCGGAAAACTCCGCTGGGAGTGCACCTTTCTCGATGATTGGTTAAGGGAAGAGGGCTTCCGAGAACGTCTGGCCAATCAGAACCTGCCCTCCCTTGCCGAGGTGGGCCGTCGCGGCGGCGAAGGGAGGGCGTCTACAAAGTGCCATCTCATTGGCTTGCAGCTTTGGAACTGGAGTTGGGAGGGGGTGGGAGAGAGGCGGGCTGCCGAGTCCCGGGGCAGCGGCCAATGGGTGCGCAATGCCGTGCAATCGCAAGACCTAGCCGCAGTACGATTGGCCTCCGGTGGTCCCTAGAGCGGAGAGAATCGCGCCGGGGTCGTGGCCAACTGTCGTCTGACGGACGGGCTAGCCTACGGCTGCTCACTATCCGTGTGAAAACCGCAGATAGGGGCGCGGGCTTTGTGCGCAGCCCGTCCGAAACTCCTGTGGTCGGCTGGCAGCGCCCGGAGCGCTGGAGCGGATCGAGGGCGAGGGGCCGTTCCCACCCACCGGAGGCTCTCCTCGGGGCGCGGCTCGTGCTGCGTTCTCTAGATCGAGCGTGCTGAGAGAGGATGGGGGCGGTGGGGAGCGCGGGGGAGTGGGATGTCTCCCCCCCCCCCAAAGAACCGGACTGACCAAAAAGCCGAGATCGGCAGGAGCTAGCACCCAGAGTCTGAACAAAGCTTCCGAAGAGCCGTGCCTGGGGCGGTGCGGGGGGCGGGGGGGGAAGGTGCCGCGCCCCTCGCATCTGCGGGAGGGCGGGGGGGACCACTGATAGAAGGAGGCCCACCGCGCCCAGCGCGCGCGGCCTGGCCCGGCCTTGTGGAAACGCCCCTGAGAGATGAGCTCATGCTGGATGCGCGCGCTCCTTGGGCGCGACTGCCCGGCGCGGCGCGGGCCCCAGCGCAGGTGAGGGGAAATGCCGTCAGACTGGATATCCTAAAGCCTCCCGGGAAAGGAAGAGCCAGAACTGCACCCCGCAGTAGCTTCGGATCTTTTCGAACCGGGATAGTCTTGGTCTATTCAAGTAACTACAGTCTATTTCACACATGCAGGCCAGTGTCCTTTGTTCTACCAGGGAACCAATTCCTTTGGCCCACCTGAAAACAGTTCATATGGGATAAGACGGACTGGCCATCCTGATTGTAATCCAGAGGTGCTTGTTATTTCCACCTGCAGAGTCATCCCTTTTTGTTCAGATGCTATCTTCCGAAAGCACGTGTAAAAGTCCTTGCACTTGATCAGATTACCTAGCTACTGCTTTGAAAGACTGATTGGACCGAACAAAGTAAGCTTTGATGAGAGACAGGAAAGGAGGTCTAAATAGGGTTTTCAGGCGCAGAAGCCAGAATATTGAGGCCAGCTTGGTATAAGACAATGAGGAATATGTCAGGAATATGGAAATAGGAGTATCCATGCTATTATGAGAGCAAATTGCAACCTCTAGAAACGTGGGTTCAGCCCAGTGGCATATTCTGTTTTTCTTCCCCAGAGATGCTCTAAAGTTGGAGTTAAACTTGAGCTTGCTAGACTTTTTTTTTTACGTAGGCAACCAATATTTCCAAGGCCAAAGTAAAAATATCCCAGAGTAGATGTAGCCAAAAGCAATCAATTTGTTATCTCAAACCTAATTGCAGATTTTATAGCCTGAAAGCAGTAGAGGCTCTTGTTCTTTACCATTAAAAGAGAACCAGAGGTTTCTGGATGCGAGGGAGGAAGGGGGTAAAGAATGCTAAAAGCAAACTCACTGCTTGGCAACTCTGTCATCCTTGAGGTGCCTCACCATGCTATTATGGATGAAAGACCTTTGCCACTGTTCTAAAATGCTGTGAAGCAAATCTTTCGATCCTGCCTGCCTTCTCTCTGTTTCTCATCCCTACTCCCAATTATAGCAGCAAGAAAGCGAATGACAAATATTTAGGTTATACACACTGGAAACATGGCTATTCTTGTATGTAGTAAGTACAAAAATGCTCTACCTTAAGGTTATATTAGCAGCTTTTCTTTTGCTGCCTTCAAATACTTTTAACTGGTGCTGTTTAAAAGAAAAAAATTACTAGCCACCAGTGACTCATATCTATAATACTAGCTACTCATATTACTGAGATCTGATGATCAAGCTTCAAAGTCAAGCAGGCAAACAAGCCCCAGAGACTCTTATCTCCAGCAAAAAGCTGGAAACAGACACATGGCTCAAATGGTAGAGCACTAGCAGTGAAAAAGTTGAATAAGAGAGGCTCTGAGTTCAAGCCCAGTATGTGTGCATGTGTGCGCGCATGCACACACACACACACAAAGGGGATAAAGGTGGTAAAAGAAGGAATCTTATGGGGTAAGGGGGGCCTTATAGGAAAAAATATGCTTTGCTCTGCAAATACAACTTGAGGATGAAAACATTTATTTTAAAAATATACAAGTAGGGGCTGGCAATGTGGCTTAATGGTAGAGTGCTTGCCTAGCATCCGTGAAGCCCTGGGTTCAATTCCTCAAAACAGAAAAAGTTAGAAATAGCACTGTGGCTCAAGTGGTAGAGTGCTAGGCTTGAGCAAAAAGAAGCTTAGGGACAGTTGCCTGAGTTCAAACCCCAGGACTGGCAAAAATAAATAAAAATATACAACTACTGCTGGTTGCTGATGGCTCATGTCTGTAATCGTAGCAACTCAGAAGGCTGAGATCTGAGGATCACAGTTCAAAGTCAGCCCAAGCAGATAAATCCCCATGGGACTCTTATCGCCAATAAACTACTCAGGAAAAGCTGGAAATGACTGTGGCTCAAGTGGTGGAACATTAGCCTTGAACAAAGAAGCTTAGGGGCAGCACCCATGCCCTGACTTCATGCCCAGGACCAGAAAAAAAATACATACATATACATATATGTATGTGTGTGTGTGTGTGTGTGTGTGTGTGTGTATGTGTATAACTGCTGAAACTAACATTTAGTGGTTTTTCTAAAATTTTTTTAAACCTCTTACTTCACCTGCTTCCCACCACATATCATTTGTAATTCTGATGGGTATTTTTACCATGTTTCAGGCACTGTTTTCTTGTACTTCATATATACTATCTTATTTAAATTTACAATAATCCTATAACCACCTTCAATTTTCAGATGAGGAAACTGAGACCCAGAAAGTTCACCAACATTCCAAGATCTACAACCAGGATTCAGATCCTACTCTACACTTCTCACACTCTACACTCTCTACACAATCCCCATCCTTCTTTCTTTATCCTATGGCGAAAGTATACAAGGCATAAGCCTTATGTCTTGTACTTTGTGTACCCAGAATCATCACAATATGGTTTCCTCAAGGGCATGGTCCCTTATAAAACCAGAAGTAATAGTAAACCAAGGAATTAAGTGGGGGAAAGTAGGAAAGCTGGGTAGTACAGAACAAGTGCGTAAAAAATAAAAGTCTAGGGCTGGGAATGTGGCTTAGTGGTAGAGTGCTTGCCAAGCATGCATGAAGCCCTGGGTTCAATTCCTAAGAATCACATATGCAGAAAAAGCCAGAAGTGGCACTGTGGCTCAAGTGGTAGAGTGCTAGCCTTGAGCAAAAGAAGCTCAAGGACAGTGCCCAGGCCCTGAGTTCAATATCAGGACTGACAAAAAAAAATCCTATATAAGTATGAGTTAATGCATGTGAAATGACTTCCTGTATTCTGTAGAAATACCAAGTGCTTGAATATTGCTTTGTAGTTTATGAAGTACTTTGATATGCATTACATTGTTTAATTCTCACAATATAGTAAAATAGGAAGGGAAGCTATTTTTCTATTTGCACAAATGCGGACACTCTACCCAAGAGTGATTAAATGGAATGCTCCAGAGTCACTTAGCTGCATTTTTAATTGAAGCTAGAAGAAAAGATAGGCAGGTTTTATAACAAAGAAGCACATAAAATATGAAAGACAATTTATTTAGATGAACCCAAACAAACTGATGAGCAAACTCTTCCTGAAGCTTCATTTATTTAGCAATATGAATTAAAAAGCCTAACAGTTATTGGGTGCTATTCTTCAAATTTTGATAAGTGTGCTCTAGGTACTT